ATCTTTATAGATCGCATAATAATCATTAATAACCTGGCCAAGTATGGCCTGCTATCAATGGGCTCCCCTCTTCAGCGTATTTCGAAAATTATATTCATACGGCGTATCCTAGGACAACTACGATGCTGTCCCGTCCTGGCCCGCTTCTACAGGTTACACTAAATCGAGTAGTAGCTCTCGTGCCGTAGCTAAAACTCTATACTTGCCTAAGCGCGGATCCCACCTGCATGTATTTTCTTTGTCTGTATAACTGTGACTATTTTGACCGAGTTATATTGTTCCTTTTAGTTAAACAACTTGAGGATTTGCTTTCACGCCTGAGGTTGCCTGTTTCTGCGTTGCTTTACCACGAGGAGAGCTACATGTTTGTCTCTATTAATTCACATTTATTGGGTTCCGAAGGTTGACTACACCAGTTCTATCGGCCGAAAATTTGATGGGCGTTCTTGTTTCGTCATCCCCGTGTCCTTTTCGCAGGGATGCTTAGTAATTCATGTGCCAAACTTTCTACCTGTGTCCTCGAGTTCACAATTTCGATCAACTCCCCAATTTAATGTATTAGTAACTTCTTTTGTTCAATATTCCAGATAACCCTTTCTAAGATTTTAGTGGGATCAAACAAACGGTATGATGAAAGTAGTCAGAATGTTCTCGGGTCGGATGAGTCAGACGCGCGGAAACTAACGTAACGTATTCGGTAAGCGAGCTGCGCATGTAAGCGAGCTGCGCACCTCACGCGTCTTAGCTCCTGTCAAAAACCTCACTCAATTCAACCACCAGCCATGCCTCCAAAAGCGCGTCAAAATGCTAGAAATCAAGCTGAGCAGGAAGGGAGGATTCTATTAACAATTTCAGCTATTAAGAATAAAGATTGTCCATTTATTCATCAAGCAGCACGATCTTATACTATTCCTGAATCTACCTTACGTACAAGGCTCTGTGGAGCAACCTTTCAAGCAGAAACACGCGCCAACTCTCATAAACTGACTCAAAATGAAGAGAAATCGCTTATACAATGGATACTATCACTTATTCAATGTGGAGTACCTCCCCGACCGTCTCATATATGAGAAATGGCTAATATTCTTCTTGCTACCCATGATACTACACCTATTCAATCAGTTAAAGAGAAATAGGTCTACAACTTCATCCAAAGATATAATGAATTAAAGACATGCTTCTTTAGATAATATAACTATCAGCATGCTCAATGTGAAGATCCTAAGATTATTAGAAAGTAGTTTAACTGTGTATAAATCACTATAATATAGCATAGAATTATACCTGAAGATATCTATAATTTTAACGAGACTAGTTTTACTATAGGTCTAATAGCTACTGCTCAAGTAATTACTAGAGCTGACTATTATAAAAGAATACCTCTCATACAGCCAGGGAATCGGGAATAGATTATTTCTATTAAGTGTATTAGTGTCTCTGGATGGGCCTTTCTACCATACATTATCTTCAAGAAGAAGATCTATATAGAAAGCTGGTATCAGAGCGATTTATTACATGACTAAAGGATTAAAGTTAGTCTAAATGGCTGGACTAGTGATGAAATAAGCCTTTACTAGCTTCAAAACCTCTTTCTTCCTACTACTACTAGCTGTACAACTGGAAAATATCATCTCCTAGTTCTTAATGACCATGGCAGTCATTTAATACCTTAATTTAACCAGATATACAGTAAGAATAATATTATTTCTATCTATATGCCTGCTCATTCTTCGCATCTACTGCAATCTCTGGATATTGGCTGCTTTTCACCATTAAAGCATGCATATAGACACTTAGTAGAGAAGAGAATATATCTTGGATTTAATCATATCAATAAGCTTGACTTCCTTAAGGCTTTCCCTGAGGCTCGTACAGCAACCTATACTACTAGCAATATCTGCAGTGGTTTTTCTGCTACTGGGCTAGTTCCATATGACCCAGAGCAAGTGCTCAGTCAGTTGAATATTCAACTAAGGACCCCAACACCACCAGGCAGTCAGTCAACTCATTCAGTGCCTAAGACACCCTACACCACCAGACAGCTCGAAAAGCAGGCATCTATAGTGAGAAGAAAGCTCCAAAGACGTGTACAAGAGCAGGAAGGCTCCCAAAGCCCTACCTCTTCTTTAGAGGTACGGCTGGACAAGATTATCAAATGCAGTGAATTAGCCCTAAATGAGGCAGCTCTTGCGCGTCAAGAAATTCATGATTTACGAGCTGCAAATGAGACGCAGCTTCAAAAGAGAAAGAAGTCTACTAAACAACTTACTGCTACAGAGGGCCTTTCTATTCAGGAGGGCCAGAAGCGATTTCAGCAGGAGAATCAGGTCTTTGAAGCTCAAGATACTCTATCTAGAGATCCAGAGCTTTCTACAGTTGGGCCCCGTGTACGCGCTCCACCGCAGTGTTCTAATTATCATATTCGGGGGCATACTAGGGTTAGATATCCTAATCTATCTAGTAATTAGTTTTATATAGAAATGCAATTGGTTGGTTGGTAAAAAGGTGCTTGAATCTCACCTAGTCATGGAAATCGGGTGGAAGTGCGCAGCTCGCTTACGTGCGCAGCTCGCTTACCGAATACGTTAATTCCCGGGTCGTCCGATCATCCCGGGTCATCCGATCACCCATCAAAAATATAGATACTTGTTAAACTTGAAGCTATTCCCAACAACGCAATTCATAATATTTTTAAATAAATTAAATTACACGACGTTTAGGACACTGAGTTCTAATATGCCCCTGAATTCGACATTCAGAGCATGTTGGTGGAGCGTGTTTTCGGGCTACTAAAGGTTCCGAAGTAAATGTACTTGGACCCCCCCCGAAGTCTTCCAGTTGCTCATTTCTCAATGTAATTAGGTCCCTTGCCTCTTGCACTTGTAGACCAGCTATAGGACTCATTTACCGCTTAGATCGACCCTTTTTTTGCTGTTGAATCTGGCTTTCTGCGCGGAGATCATTCAATTTCTTAAGGGTCATCACAGTGTTGTATATCGCTATCTCACAGCCTTTTATAAGCTTATCTAGCGCTTGCTTAGAAGGACTAAAAGAGGCTTGACAGCCTCTAGCAAGCATCTTCTTGACTGATAAAGCTTTTTTATATAGTTGACGAACTGTATAAGGCGTGGCAAGTATAGAAGAGCTGGTTGAAGCCCCCTCTCTGCTTCCTGGGGGGTAGGTGTATAAACCGTGTAATTTAACTTATCAAGTACCTGGCTAGGATCGTGAGGTTGTATTCCAGCTGCGCGGAAGCCGCTTTGAATATTCTCTATAGAGAAGACCTGTTGGCGAGCCGCAGGATAGGCCTTTAAGAAGTCAAGCTTGTTAATATGGTTATATCCTAACCGCATCTTTGCCTCAACAAGGCCCCCATAAGCGCGCTTTAATGGGCCAAAACAACCAACATCTAGTGGCTGCAAGAGATGAGATGAATGAGAAGGCATGCAGATATATACAATATTATTGTCCTTGTATATCTTATTAAATTTAGGCGTGAGGTGACTTCCATAGCCGTCCAGAACTAGTAATCAAGATCCTCTCTTGGTCTGCGCAGTTGTTGCAGGAATAAAGCACTTCTCTAGCTACTGGAGGCTTATCTGATCTGTTATCCATCCATTTGCACTTACTTTAATCCTCTAGTCGCGGGGTAAATCGAGTTCTTTAAACCATCCCTGTATATGGACCTTTCTTTTGAAGATAATACATGTTAGAATACTAAATCCCGTAGAGCCGATATATTCGATTGTGGTGACCCATTCGCGCTGGCCTGGTTGAATAATATAAGACCTTCCTGGCATATTTGACCGTGTAACTACTTTAGTAGTTGTAATAAGACCTATAGCAAAGCCAGTCTTATCAAAGTTGTAGATATCTTCATCCTGAATGCCGTGCTTGTCTTGAACCTCTTTTAAGCGCTTGAACTAATCCCTGATAATCTTAGGATCTTCATAAAGGGCACGAGAATAGTTGTATCGTCGAGCGAATCGAGATTTGATACTATCATGGCGCTTGATAAACTCAGTGACCCAGTTCTTCCCAATTAGCTTGGGGGGTGTTGGTAAATCCTGTTGGAGGATTATATTGGCCATTTGCTGTACATGTGATGGCCTGGGAGCGACCCCATGCATATCTCTAGATATAATCCATTGTATCAAGGCCTCTTCCTGAGTTTTAGACAGCCTGAGGTTGTGGTTCCGAAGTTCTCCTTGAAATAAGTGTCCACTTAGTCGATTTGAAAGCGTTGTATAGGGCATATTAAAGGTTTCTGCCGCTCGACGAATACTTGGGATTTCACAGTTCTTTAGGGCTTTAATTGCAAGTTGGATTCTGCCCTCTTGCTCCACCAAGTTTTGACGTGACTGACGCGATTTTGGTGGCATGGTGGTTGCTTGAATAATTACGCGTTGAACGTGTGATGATTTTTCGGTGGGTGATCGGATGACCCGGGATGATCGGACGACCCGGGAATTACGTTAGCGGGGTCTGGCAGAAGAGGGGCTGTCCGGTTGAAGACATTACCCAGATTTCGGTCGGGCATCAAAATCCTGTGCTCACAATCATGCAACATCAGTTTACGACAAAGGCCTTTTCCATAAAATTTAACCCAGTTAACCATTCTAATTAAGTCCTCAATCCGATACAATAAAGTTAGGTTCTTCCGATTCTCACAAACGCTTGTGAATACTAACACTTCGAAGATTAGATATCGCTAAGGGACAGGACACTAAGTTATGACTGATGCTGTTGGTGAAAAGGCGCTCAACGGGGAATGGGAGAGGATATCAAATAAATGTTTTGAGATAAAGGAGGACATGATTATGACATTCGAGGGTCGCTCATGCAATGTTACCGATGGTGAAGGCAGCCTTATTCCTAATGGAAGTCTCGGCCCCGCAGATGGACAGACAGCAAGAGAAGTGAAAGCTGGTTATCGCTGCTACGTTATGAGAGCCTTAGTGAAATTTGAGAAAGGTGGACAAGATATTTGAGATGTGAGTGCTCGATGTAAATTCATATTATACCTAAGTATTATCCAACCCTTCAGGATCTCCAAGTCCCAAGATATTGGAGACATTGAGCCCTCTGAATATCCCATCCTAACAACCAAAAGAGCATCCTCATTAACTCTTTCAGGCAAGTAAAGGCTCAAACGGTTTGTGACCGATAGTCCTCCTCTTTCTTGTTAGTCTTTCCACAACTTGCTTGTCTCGATTCCCCTCCTAAACTGCTCAGGCAACTTATCGATCATATAGCGTCGCATGAATGAGAAGGATAAATAAGGACCGTTACTGAATAACGTTGGATGCCCTGGTACTATAGGTTAGGGAAACCTAGCTTTGACGATGCCTGCGTACCTAAAACTTGCGATTCTAATCGCGGGCACTTTGGCAGCCGCTCATTGGGCTCCTCATTAAGGTAGTCATTTATTTCATTTGAAGATGCCTGTTCATATCTACTTGATTTGTATCGATCATGTCCTGGATCCGAGTATAAAATAGCTACATTATGGTTGTGCCCTGTGCATAGCAATTAGCATAAAAACTGATGAATAATTGATACTGTAATTTGTACACATGGAATCCCTGCCCACTACATTTGGCCTTTCTCCGGGAGAACTGTGGCACTCTTGTGAGTTTCTCAATTCCGATGGCCCAGGAGGAGCTTCTGTGGAGTTTCTGCTGTTTTCTGTATCCCGTGGAACACTCTGGCAGGTGGCATTGGTAATCTTGTAAAGTGATTCTGGAGGAGATGTTGAGGCCCACCAGTCCTCAAGTTCGCTGTAGAATGTAATAGAAGCTATTGCAGGGAGGTTGGAAATGGTATAAGACAAAGAACATAGCACAAACAATTCTGGGCAAATAACATAGACCTTTCTTGCGAAATGACGTGCGCGGCGTCTGACGCTCCGACGTGAAGAGGATCTTTTCTTTAAAGACTGGTCGGTTTCCGCGAAAAGGTCGACCCAGGAGGCTACTCTATTAACTTGGACGTCGGGAAGAGGATACTGGACTTCCTGTACCTGACTTTGAAGGCGGGGTTTGAATTGGCTGGCAAAAAGACTATCGAGAGAATTCATCGCTTCAGGTTCCCCGGACGGGACGGGACGGGACATGACAGGACAGGACGGGTTTGGACAGAAGGGCGGTGTAGGCTATTATAAGCAACTGAGAGGCGCTTACTAATTTGGATGACGCACGGCTTATTAACGTAATCGGTAAGCGAGTGGCCACTGCAAGCGAGTGGCCACCCTTCCCGCGTATTCCGATCAATATACATTTTTGAAGCCGTTTTTCAACATATTGAAATCATTAAAAATGTTTTTTTTTAGTTGATTTCTCTTGTAGGGCAGTGTGTACATTTATGGCCTAATTGATTACAATCACTGCACCGGGGTGGCGCGCGGCGGCGAGGTTGTTCCTCATAGTCAGCCGGCTGGATCACCTCGCCTCCAGGTGCTTCGCCGGCTTGACGAGGCTGTTGAAAAGCCTCAATTGCTTCCTGTACGGTGAGACCGTCAAGACCAGTTATTTGGCGATGACTCCTTTTCTTCTTTCTTTCTTGGCGCCCTTTTCCCTCTCGGAGTTGGCGATTTTCGGCTTCAAGAAGGGTTGTCTGATTGATCGCAATCTTACAGCCTTTTATTATATATGATAAAGCAGTCTTCATCGGTGTAGACAGGCTTTTCGAGAGCTCGCGAAGCACATTTTTGATAGTAGATTCATGCTTCTTTAATTGCCTCACGTTATTAGGAGACTTTGGTATCGTTGAAGCTGTACTTGGCCGGCTGGGGGGGGGGGGGGGGTAGTATCACGAAGGCAGTAAACAAGCTGATTAACCACCTCGGTAGGTGAGAAAGGCACTATTCCTGCGGCGCGAAAAGCACTCTGTATAGTTGCTTTTTTAAAAGTAAATAATCAAGCAACTAGATATGTATCCAAGAAATCCTCCTTATCAACTTTGTGGATTTCCGCGCGGATCAACTTCTCAATCAACCTACTATACGCCTGTTTTAATGATAAAAAACATGTAACATCCAACAGTTAATATAGGTATGAGAAGTGCGGAGGCATACATACAGGAACAATATTATTTTGATTGCAGATTTTATCAAATTCAGGCATTAAATAAGAGTCATGGCCGTCGAGTATTAGGAGGCTAGATTTTCCAGTTCTTCAACTCTGAATAGATGGAATAAAGTGTTCACGCAGCCAAAAAAGGCTTATTTCGTTGGTAGTCCATCTATTCAGTAATATATGAAGTCTCTAATCAGGAGGTAACTTTCTACCTTAATACCATGACTGTATATAAACCTTGCCTTTAAGAATCACGAACGGAGGCAAGGCCCAGCCAGCTGCGTTAATATATTTGATTGACATTACCTACTCGCGATTCCCAGGCTGTATAAAAAACGGTCTTCCAATATAGTCAGATCTGGTAATAACGCGCGCAGTAGCCACCATTTCTATAACAAATCTAGTTTCATCAAAGTTATAGATATCTTTATCTGCAATACCGTACTCTGATATAATAGCTTGAATATAAGAAAACCACTCATTAATCACCTTTGGATCCTCACAGCAAACGCGCTGATAGTTATAACAGCAGGAAAAGCAAGACTTCAAAGTATCATGTCTTTTAATAAAGTTATATACCCATTTCTCTTCTATATCTGTATGGTAGTTCAGATCACGCTTTTAGATTAAGAGAGTAGCCATTGTACGAACGTATAAAGGCCTGGGTGGAAGGCCTCGCTGATCTAAAGAAATTATCCATTTCTCTAAGGCTTCCTCCTCTGCAGGAGTCAATTTTAATGAATTTGCGCGTATTTCTGTACGCGATTTGATTCCCTGCAGACGATGCCGGACAGTTGATCGAGGAACTTCAAAATCGCGGGCTGCTTGGGCCACGTTAGGAGTATCGCCATTTTTTAAAGCTTCAATTGCGAGGACGATCCGGCCCTCTTGTTCAACACCGTTTTTTAACGATTTGGACATTTTTTGGTGGTGATATCGCGGATTCAATGCTTTGTGGTTGAAAAAACGCGTGTTTTCGGAACGCGGGTGGCCACTCGCTTACCGATTACGTTACTCCGCATTAGTGATGCCTAAGATATGCGTCCAATTAGTGAAGAGATCTTGCCGCTAACAAGGGGTCTGGGCTTGGCACAGAGAGAATAAACATGAGATACATCGGAAGTGATGGATGATGGAAGGTTCTAGAATAGTAATGGAGAAGACGGCAGGTTCGGCTTGTTCTACGGTCTTAGTAACAGCCCGTCGCCTCAAACCCCGATAGCAGCACTGTTTTATATTAAGATGACAAATTAAGAGGAGTTACTGAAGATAGGGGCCCGTGCTTGCCAGTATTTGATCGAAGTTCGCAGCGTCAAAGACGCAATCGTGCTGAGTTGACTGGCATTTGGGTGGTTGGATTTAGCTCCGGGATGGGCACCTTCGAGAAGCTTTGGTGCAAACATGTCAAACTGACTGACATGTGTGTTCACCTTTACTTTGCGATTTCAGAGGGATAAGGTACAGCCTATCTCGCGACAGTCGATGCGAGCTGCGACCTGCTGATTCTCCACTTTATCCTTCCAGCTATGCTTCTCCTACAGGCCAAGCGGGCATCTTTTACTGGTTGGTCCAGTAAAATAATGGGATGCCAGCAGCACATTACCCCTCTTCTAGGCGGCTATTATAGGCGTGTGGTTGGGAGAAAAGCGCGAGGCTGCGAACACTAGACTATCTTAGCTTCCCTTGACTTCAGCTCTACTTACCCTCCATGTCCAGGCCTTTTGTTGAGAAACCTGACATAGTAAAGCCTGCTTCAATCTCTACCTGGAACCCTCCTGAAGCCCGTGCTGCGAAATGCGACCGAGAAGCCGCGACGACTTTGCGATCGCGGTTATCTGCGCCCTCCCTCTCGAGGCGGAAGCGGTCGAAGGCCTGTTCGATGAAACGTATGATCGGCTTGGAAAACACTACGGCAAACAACGAGGCGACGCGAACGCATATATCAATGGACGGATTGGCAAGCACGATGTGGTCCTGTGCTATATGCCTGGAATGGGCAAGGACAGCGCAGCGGGTGTTGCCTCCAGTCTGCTAGTCAGCTACACAGGCATCAAGCTGGCTTTGGTGGTTGGTATCTGCGGAGGCGCCCCACCGCCCCCTAAATACCAGGAGATATTCCTTGGCGATGTGATTATCAGTGACTCGGTGATCGAATATGACTTTGGCAGACAGTACCCTGGGGGGTTCCAACGGAAGAGTGACGTTAAAGACACTTTAGGCAGGCCAGGTCGAGAGATCCGGGCTCTCCTAAATGGCCTTCGCACCGAGAATGCTCGCAGGGAACTTCAGGACCAGACACAGCAATACCTTCAATCCCTCCAACAAACAGGGACCAAGTGGTGTTATCCCCGGGTCCGCGATCTTCTTTTCCAGGCCTCATATCTTCACAAGCATTCCGACCCTGCTTCTTCTGCTGGGTGCTCCTGTTCTACGACCGACGCACCTGACCAGATTTGCGAAGAGGCATTAGGAAAAGAATGTAACGAGCTGAATTGCGACCAAGATCAACAAGTCCGATGTCGAGAGATCTCAGACGCCATCCGGACTTCCATATATATTGGACCCGTTGCCTCTGCCGACACGGTGATGAAGTCGGGACAGCATCGTGATCAGATCGTCAATAGGGAGAAGGTCATTGGTTTCGAGATGGAGGGGGCAGGAGTCTGGGATAATGTTCCATGCATCATCATCAAAGGGGTCTGTGACTATGCCGACAGCCACAAGAGCAAGATGTGGCAGGCATATGCAGCAGCGACCGGAGCGTCGGTGGCAAAGGCCTTTTTGGAGTATTGGATGCCGGTACACTACAAAGGTCAGTAAAGTGTCTAGTAGGAATTTAGCACTATCAAATAACTTATAGACTTGATAGATACGAGCAATTCTCGCCATCTAATGATTCCCTTTGCAAGAAATCGGCATTTCGTGGGCCGCCGGAAAGAGATACAGGAACTAGAGGAATTAATCTCTGCGCCAGACGGACCGAGAAAGCTTGCCATTACTGGATTGGGCGGGGTTGGAAAGACCCAAATTGCGCTGCAGCTCGCCTACCACATGCGCGATAGAGAGCCTGAATGTTCGGTCTTCTGGATCCCGTGTACCAGCTACGAGGCTGTTGAACAGGCTTTCATGAGCATTGCAAGCCTGGTGGGGCTCCAGGATGTGGAGCCAGCCGAGGCAAAACAGCGGCTCCAGGCTTACTTCAGCCAGACCGACAAGAAGTGGATCCTTATTTTCGACAATGCAGATGAGATAAATATGTGGATTAAGGGCAGCCCCTCAGCACCACCACTCAAGGATATTATTCCTCAGAGTGAGAATGGCCATGTGCTCTTCACATCCCGCAACCGTCAGCTTGCGTTGAAGCTGGCAGCAGCAAACATAGTCTCTATTCCCGATGTGGATCAGAAGACTGGCAAGGAGATCTTTAAAGAATTACTAGTCCAGAAAGATCTGCTTCGACATGACTACATGGCAAATAAACTCCTTGAGCAGCTTGCCTTTCTCCCTCTGGCAATCAGCCAAGCCGCAGCTTACATTAATCAGAACGGTATCTCCTTCGAGACATACATGTTATTGCTGGGTGAACAGGAGGCAAGCACAATAGAAATACTCAGCGAGGAGTTTGAGGATGATGGACGCTATGCAGAGATTCAGAACCCAGTAGCCACGACCTGGCTGGTTTCATTCTTACAAATCCAACAAGTGGATCAAACAGCAAGCGACTATCTGTCGTTTATGGCTTGTATTAACCCACGGGATATACCGGAGTCAATTCTACCGGCCACAGCTTCAGCAAAACAGAAAGTAGAAGCATTAGGTCTTCTTAAAGCATATTCTTTTATCAGCACACAGGTTGATGACCGCACTTTCAGTGTTCATCGACTTGTATATCTCGCCACCCGAAACTGGCTTCGCAAAAGAAAGAGCCTTAAGAGTTGGGTAGAAAGGGTAGGCAACCGATTGGCCCAGGTGTTTCCAAACAGCAACCATGATAATCGATGTACGTGGAGGGACTACCTACCTCATGCATTGTATCTGGTAAACAGCGCAGAATTCCAGGCACATCAGGATAACTACTGTAGCTTTCTGGCAAGAATCGGAGACTGCCTGCAGAGTGATGGAAGATATAGCGAGGCTGAGATTATATTTCGAACCGTGCTAGAAATACGCGAAAGAGCTTTCGGACTAGAGGATCCTGATACTCTGACCAGTGTCAGCCAGCTTGGTTGGGTACTTGCACGACAGGGCAAGTATGCGGAGGCAGAGGCCATGCATCAACAAGTACTTCAGGGTCATGAGAAGGCCCTTGGTTCCAAATATCCTCATACTCTAACCAGTGTTAGCCAGCTTGGTTGGATACTTATATAACAGGGTAAGTATGAGGAGGCAGAGACCATGTATTAACAGGATTTAGAAAGATTAGAGAAGACTCTTAGTCCTGAGTATTCTGATACTCTGACTAGTATTAGCTAGCTTTATTGGGTACTTGCATGACAGGGTAAGTATGCAGAGACAGAGATCATACATTAACAAGTACTTCAGGATCATGAGAAGGCTCTTGGTCCTAAATATTCTCATACTCTGACTAGTATCAGCCAGCTTAGCTCAGTACTTGTATAACAGGGCAAGTATGCGGAGATAGAGGCCATATATTAATAAGTACTTTAGGATTATAAAAAGATCCTTGATCCTGAGTATTCTAATACTCTGATTAATATCAGCTACCTTGGCTCAGTACTTGATAATCAGGGCAAGTATGCGGAGGTAGAGGCCATGTATTAACAAGTACTTTAGGATTATAAGAAGATTCTTAGTCTCAAGTATTCTAATACTCTGACTAGTATTAGCCAGCTTGGTTAGATACTTACATGACAGAATAAGTATATAGAGATAGAGACTATATATTAATAAATATTTCAGAATTATAAGAAGATTCTTGATCCTGACTATTCTAATACTTTGATCAGTATTAGCCAGCTTGGCTTAGTACTTGTATAACAGGGCAAGTATACCGAGGCAGAGGCCATGCATTAACAAGCACTTCAGGGTTATGAGAAGGCTCTTGGTCCCGAGCATCCTGATACTCTGACCAGTATTAGCTAGCTTGGTTAGGTACTTGCATGACAGGGCAAGTATACGGAGACAGAGACCATGTATTAACAGAATTTAGAAAGGTCAGAGAAGGCTCTTAGTTTTGAGCATTCTGATACTCTGATCAATATCAGTCAGCTTGGTTAGATACTTGTATAACAGGGCAAGTATGAGGAGGTAAAGGCTATATATTAACAGGATTTAGAAGGGTTAGAGAAGACTCTTAGTCTCAAGTATTCTGATACTCTGATTAATATCAGCCAGCTTGATTAGGTACTTATATAACAGGGCAAGTATGCAGAGGCAGAGGCTATATATTAACAAGTATTTTAGGATTATGAAAAGACTCTTGGTCCCAAATATTCTTATATTCTGACTAATATTAGCTATCTTGATTTAATACTCATATAACAGGGCAAGTATACAGAGACAGAGGCCATGTATTAATAAGTACTTCAGGATTATAAGAAGACTCTTGGTCCTGAGTATTCTGATACTCTGATCAGTATTAACCAGCTTGATTAGATATTTATATAATAAGATAAGTATGTAAAGATAAAGATTATATATTAATAAATACTTCAGAGTTATGAGAAGGTTCTTGATCCTGAGTATCCTAATATTCTGACTAATATTAGCCAGCTTGATTGGATACTTGCATAACAGAGTAAGTATATAAAGACAGAGACTATATATTAATAAATACTTCAGGATTATAAGAAGACTCTTAGTCCCGAGTATTCTGATATTCTGATTAGTATTAGCCATCTTGGCTCAATACTTGTATAACAGGGTAAGTATATAGAGGCAGAGGTCATGCATTAACATGCACTTCAGGGTCGTGAGAAGGCCCTTGGTCCCGAGCATCCTGATACTTTAACCAGCATGCAAAAGCTCGCATTTACTCTCAAACAGCTAGGAAAGGCTCCTGATGCCTTGAACCTCCTTAGAAGATGTGTCGACCTTCGCATCAATATATTAGGCTCGCATCATCCGCATGCTATATCCTCGTCAAACACCCTTCGTGACTGGGAAACAGCAGCAGTCCAGCCTTCAAAATGTCAGCAACCACATGCTTCATTACCTGGTTCGTCGCATCTGAATCCCATGCATGCTGCTGCCAACATTCATCCTACCTCGGCTTCGAAACCCGTTGGACGCAAACGGCGATTCTTTATGAGCTTATTCTCCCGACGATGAAGTGCGGGTTTGATCTCATATTGCGTTGTAACCATGAATGATGGTCCAGCACCTGTCTTCTGTTGTTAGCTAATATTTATACCCTATTTCGTTCTTTACTTACACTGAAACAACCTGGATTTTTTCTTTTGGTCCCAAATCCCTACATAAAAGTAGAACGCATATTTAACACACCTGGCGAGATTCACTGCTAGGTAGGTGGATTGGATGATAGATACAGAATAACATCTTAACTCTTGAAGTATGTGTCTCATGTTTTCTACCCTGGATGAGGTCCGTGTATCAAAACACGCGCAATGTAAAATCACGCCGAAACTGTAACCTAATTACACACCAAGTCAGAGCTTGCCAAGAGCTTTAATTCCGACACTAACCCCACGAAAACTAGTCCTGCGGGTTGAGGGTTCGGGAAACAAAATCGAAGTGTTCCAGGTAGGCAGGCCGGTGGTGCAAGGCACTGTATAAAGCGGATTATTAGTAAATACAATACCAACTTATATTGTAAATACCGGGATCGTCCTACCGCCTCAAGCCCCCATGTAGCATCAGTTCGGCCAGGGAGTGTCCTGGATTCCTATCTGCTGTTACGGACCCCTGCTAGCTGAACAACTAGTAAGGCGGGTATGTCAGGCAGAAGGCCACATCCGGACGGAAGGGGGCTCTTATCGAGGAGGATCCTGACCCGGACCATCAGGCGACACGGATCACGTGACCATGGTATACAGACAAGCATGTGGTATATAACATATCATCATGGTCTATAACTACTAAGTAGGTATATGATAGACCTGATGGTATATGGAATGGTATATAGGGAACGGATATATAAGGATATTCTTTCATATACTTAGCTAGTTCTGTTCTTTATACTTAATAATACTGTCTTTAAGTAACCATATGTTTTGATAAAGCTTAGTAATAATACTTGTCTGTACTTACTTACAGATAGTTGCACGGCACTATCTGGCCTTACTTCTCTTTTCTTGTTTAGATTAAGTCATCTTTAGATAATTATTAACCTGATTATCTTTGATTCAGTTCATAAGGTACGTATTGGAACGGGAGCTAAGCTAATAAGAATAGAGAGAAATGATCCTAGGGTTTGATATATTGAGTATCAGTCAGTATAAGTGTTATCCAGTGGTAATCAGTCATTATATTAACTATATTGAATATATCACGAGCGCCTCAGTAGCAGGGCCTGATAACCAAGGAACTGATAAACATGGTTAGTTAGTTACAAGAAAGCGTCACTGCTTTAGAATAAAAGAACCAGTTACTTAAAGATTGTCTATCAGTTAAATCTATTAAGATCTAATTATCTGAGCTATTTAACGGCAAATAAGCGAAGCTCAGAGCTTTCTTGACCTAGTTAGACTTGTATCTTAACATAAACAAGAAAAAGCTTAAGAATAAGAAGAATAAGATCTTTTTTATATCTACTTATCTTACCGGAGCAATATTTGATTAGTTTAAATCATATATCTACAAGTAATAAAAGAAGTTAGTAAGTAATCAGAATAATAATATAAAGTAACTTTTTACTAGTTATATCAGATTTAAATAGTGTCTTAAACAGACATTCAGAGATATTAATATAATATAGAATATTAAGTAAAAGTTATAATAACTTAAGTAGATAGGATTAGTATTTATATATATTTTAGAGTTTCAGTAAGTTATTAATTATCTAGATTAAAATGATAACACTTATATCTTATGATTTAAAAAAAGACTCAAGATAGAGATCTAAAAGAAGATTATTTGGTAAGAATGACCGGACATATTGATTAAGATAATTAAAGTAATAGTTAAGATTAATAATAAATTATATAACTTTAACATGAAATGATAAGAGGATTAATAGATTAATAAGTCTATATCTTAACATAATAATTAGCCAGATTACTGAGTTAATAATAGAAGGTCAGTATAATCTAGGAGCTTGGAATATAAAGATCTCTATAGGCTGAAACCCATAGAGCTGGATACAGTACAGCATCAGACTTAACAGATTCGAATATTTAAAGAGGAACTTGAACAGTGTAAACAAGACTACTTGTGCTTTAGCTGCGGTAAAGTAGATTATTAGTTAAAAGACTGCAGTTAGAAACAGCCTTAGAAGTAATTAAGTATTATGAATCAAGATTAAGGCAGAGAAGTCTATGATATTACTGCTATTTAGTATAAAGTTTAAACAGAATCTGTAACACAGATATTAGATAATAAGAAGTTATATATTATTCAGTATAATTAGTTATCAGAGAATAGGATATATTATGATTGGTTAAAATAATAGACCATTCTGGATGAGTTAATAATATTATTTAGTTAATAAGAAGATTAATAATTATCTATACTATTAGTTTGGACTACAGAAGTCAATGATAATAATTATAAGCTAGTTTTAAGAAATAATTATCCTAATATAGTTTGAGATAAAGATAAACTGTTAGAGAAAGAGTATAATATATTATTTAAAGATCTTAAATCTAGTAAGAAAAGATTTAGCAAGATATCTGATACCCTTGAAAAATCCTTATTAAAAATTAATAAACTCTGTCTATCGCAGTAAGATAAGAATAAGAAGAATTAGAAGAATAATTAAGAGAATATTATTTATTAGTTAGACTATATTTTGAAAGAGATTTTAGAGAATCCAGCATAATTCTGTCTAAAGCTTAAAATAATTATACAGTATTATCTATATTAGGATTTAAAATATTGGAAATCATAAAATAAAACTTAGGAATAATATTTATGGAGATATTCTTATTATCTAAAAGTTTGTTTAATATGTGGATAAGATAATACAGACTATTATTATTAATTATTAGAGATTAGCTAGAAGATAAATGTTGCTGAAACAGAGTCTTGATATAATAAACCATGTCTGTATATTTATTTTAAAAAAAATAAAGATTATTAGAGATATAATAAACTTTCTTAGCTTGTATATTATATAAACACATGCTTAACATACCATGATTAGAAGTATATTATTAATTACTAATCTAGAATACTGAAAGTGGTTAGGGCTAAGATAAGTTACTATCTATATAATATCTTTAATTATATATGTAAAAAATATCAGAGACATTCTTACTACAGATTAATATATTAACTAGCATGTTTTAATAATTAGTATATAATATATTATACAGTAAAAATAAAAGGTTCAAGATTTTTAAGAAGATACTCACGGCAGTTAGAACCTAATTAGCTAGAACAGTAATTAATAATCATAAAGTTAGGACTATATTTAAAGATTTAAGTAATTATATTAGATTAACCAGCCTAAGTACTGGTAAATTTTAAAGTAACTGGAAACTTTATGAACCTGTGATTCATATAACAGCTTAAAATACTTAAATAATAGAAAAAAAAACCTGAACTAATTACAGGACTGAATAAAGAGAATTTGGAAACTCTTATATTAATAGTTAAGTTAAGAACTATATTTATAACTGTAAAGAACTACTACAAGTATATAGATTTTAATATAATATTTTTAAAATAGTATAATATTATGTTAAAAATTCTATGATTCAGGAATCATAATCTATAGATTAATTAAAAAACTAAGAATCTTTAATTTATAAATTATGATTATCCAAGACAATATTAGCAAGGACCAGATATAGGGTCTAGATCTATACAGCTTACTACTCAGTAAAGAGCTGAAATAAGGATTAAGTAATTTAATAAGAGAAGATTGAGATTATTATAAAAGTCTAATATACCAGGTATTAGAGATAACTTAAAGAAAAATAATACTTTAAATATAGTTATATAAATAATAACAGTAACCAAGCCATTATAGAAAGATTAGCTCATGGAATTATCAAGATAGGTATTAATAATAATAAAAAAGTATTATAAGTATAGTATTAACAGCTTTAACATAGAGATTAAGATAATTATCCAAGGATTAAAAGATTTATAAAAACTTCTAGCTGCAGTCAAGAGTAATATACAGATTCTATTATAGTATAAAAGATTTAAAGACTTGTTTAAATAATTAGAGTAATCTAAATTACCTCAGCACGGAAAGCATGACCATACTATTTTTATAAAAAAAAAAAAGTTACTAATATATAAAAAGATTTACTTAATATCTAAAAAGAAATTATAAATACTATAAGAATATATTAATAATCAGCTGGTTAAAGATAATATCAGGTCTTTAAAATCACCAGCAGGATATAGAGTCTTATTTATACTAAAAAAGAATAATAATTTACAATTATACATGGATTATTAGTCACTAAATACTATTATAATTAAAGATTAATACCTGTTATCTTTGATTTCGGAAATCCAAGATAAGATATAAGAAATAAAGTAGTTTACTAAACTTAATATTATAGATATATATTATTATATACACATCATAGAAGGTAAAGAATGGAAAACCGTGTTTAAAATAAAGTATAGATACTTTAAATATTTAATTATACTATTTAGGCTTATTAACACACCAGCATCATTTCAGTAATATATTAATAAAGTTCTTAGAGAATATCTTGACAGGTTTATGATCATTTATTTAGATAATATATTAATCTTCTTAAAGACTAAGAAAGAATATATAAGACATATAAGACTAGTTCTATATAAACTATATCTATATTAGTTATAATATAAGCTGAAAAAGTATGAATTCTATATACAGGAAACAGAGTTCCTGGGATACTAGATATTCACTAAGAAAATCTATATTGAGTAAGCTAAAGTGTAAGCTATACAGAATTAGTCTTAATCTAGAAATCTGAAAGAACTACAGCAGTTTATTAAACTAGTTAACTATTATTAATGATTTATAGATAGATACGCTATCTATATAACACTACTTTTTAAGCTTATAAAGAAGTTAAAGAAGTATCAGTAGAAAGAATCACAGTAAAATATGTTTAAAGATATCAAGCAGTAACTTACCATATTACTAGTACTTATACAGTATAATCTAGAAAAAGAAATAATCATTAAAATCAATATAT